ATATATATATATATATATATATATATATATATATATATATATATATATATATATATATATATATATATATATATATATATATATATATACATTCATATTGCGAAGAGTCCTGCAAGTACAACAATAATTCGTTGCAGGATGACGTATAATGATCGACACGGGTTTATTCCCTCTGTTAAATCGATAAACTAAAACATCGCCGAAATAGGCGACTTTCGATGAGACCCGACAGATTCGGCAGATTCGTGAGACCTTGCATCACTTACTTTGACGAACTTTGACGAAATTTCACGAACGTGAAATATGTCTAATTATCATACATGAGTAACATACAAAATAACATATAAAAATCTCTCGTTCCTGAAGATGTAAATACCTAATATATATGCAATCCCAAAACTGTTACATTTTTTCCCCGTTATTCACGGGCTATGAAGCCAATTTTTTCTCTCAATAGACACATTAAGCTCAATTCCGCTTGTACTTAATTTTAGAAATAATTGATTCATGTTTTAACAACAGCAGTTTTTTAATAATTATGAGAAAATGCAATAGTCCTGGGATGCCGTGTACAATTTTATCTATACAGCTTGCTTCCAAAATGTTCGGTATAACTTAGCCAGATTCTACACTACCGAGAAAAAGAACGAAAGAAGTTTATACGAATAAATATGTCAGCAATATGCCGTTTCCAGATACGAACTATACATGTAAGAATTTTTTTCGTTACTTCTACTTGGTGGAACCAAGAATGACAGAGTTAGCCCGAACAATTGGAAAGCAGTCTGTACACTTGCCTGTTGCTATTTCTATCTCGGTTATATTCGTTTATATTCTTTCTAGAATAGAGTTAGTTAATATTAGCTTAGTGATAGCACGGACTACACGACACGCAAAACAATAAATAACGGCAACAAAAATAACAACCTGACCTGCAGTTTCGCGGTAGAATAGACGCAAATCAATCGTAATACCTTGTAAAGGGAATTTTACCAAATCGAAGTATTTTTTGACAAGTAAGCTCTTTATTACTTGGAACTATCTCCGATAGCAGAATAATGAACTAGACTTTGAAATTAATGCTTGTATCATCTCACACAATTTCCATGAAGTTGTGAAAAAATAAAAATGAATATCCTTCGGGATTATCATTTACGATTAAAATATTATAATACTTGTATGATAAGAGTAAGGCTCGAAAAGTTATCGTCTCTTACGGCCAGCCTCTCGATAATCCTCGTGTCTTGATGATCAGCACGATATTCTTCTTCCCGACATCAAGGAAGGAAGTATGTACACAGTTACATCATCCTCGCAACTGAATTCGGACGATAAATAGACGTTTCGATATATCATATACAATATACAAATGACACTTTAGACGTGTTGTGGAATGTGTGTGATGCACCCCTGTGAATGTGTCCTGGTGGCTTGCAGACTCAGACCAGGAGGACCATTCTCACAACTCTGGACGAATGAACATCAGAAAACCGCTAGGTAAGTATCTATCTCTCTCTTTCACTTTCTCTCTCCCTCTCTCTCTCTCTCTCTCTCTCTCTCTATCTATCTCTTTCTACATCGACAAGACTTTACCACCTTACTTCTATTTTCGTTTGCACTTTAGACGTTTGCAATGTTGCTCTTCTAATCGAAATAATCCCGAAGCATTTCGAGCGTCGATCGACGAGTCTCTCTCGATTCAATCTTCTCTCCCTTAGTTTCGTCATCAATATCGCAAAGATCAAGCTGTACATACATACTCATGTTCATATCTAGAAATGCCTTCTGTACATTTTCCTTTTATCATCACGCATCACAACGTACGATGAGTCGTTTCATGAATCTCACGTGACTGTGTATCCTAACATATGATTACTCTTATTCATCTATAGTGGAGTTGTCCAACATATGTTCGCCAGTAACTTTATTTCGCGCCTTTTTACATTTATCGTAAGAGAAGAGATACAAAACACATGAAATTATGAATTGCGCGAACGTGTGTTGGACAAACCTAGTCTATAGCTATGAATTATATATGCGCAAGAGAGAATGTGTGTGTGTCGGATATATTTCTTTTGATAAGACTGTACGAATCTTCACGTAATCTCCCTCCAAGTCGAGACTTTCTCCTCGGAAGCGGAATTCGATTCGGCAAACGAATACGCAACACGCTACTTTATCTTTTATCACTCGTGCTGAAAGAGATGACCGTGACGAAAGATCCGCGCGTTTATACGAGTAAATTTTGACGCGATTCGCGTCTACTTGTAGATTTTGAAGCCGGGGAGGATGGGGACGACAGCAGCGGCGGCGGGAACTCCTGGCGGGAGGAGTTGCAGCGGCGTTATCAACAAGAGAATGACTTCTTGGCGGAATTGCGAGCTCGCAACGCTAACATGCCGCAAACACCATCGACCACCCTGTCCAGCGAGACGGATCAAGAGCGTGGCGAGAGGGAGGAGGCGGAAGGAGAGAAGGAAGACGAAAACGAGTCCAATTGGGCGGAAGCGGTGAAGAGATGGGTCAATCGATAAACCAATTTAGAAAACAAAAAAGGATATAACGATATATTAAGCATTAGGTGTCGAAGGTACATTCGAAGAACTCGGCGAGGCGAAAGCGCGAGGACGAATCGCCGCGGCGATCGGATCACACATTACACACGCATACGCATACACACACTCTATGGACACACGCGTATACTTTGATATTAGTATACAATGTAATACTCGATAGAGAATTGAATGTCGTGCGATATCGGAAATCTATGCATTCATAAAACGGTATTTGCTATCGGAGGATGAGACGCGAAAGATGACGGGCGTCGTCATTTTAATACGGAGCAATTATCATTCTTAGAATTGTATTTATATCGCGAGAGAGAGAGAGAGAGAAAGAGAAAGAGAGCGAGCGTATAGAGTTGACATGATGGGGGGGATTTTGCTACTTCATTCGTCTACAATTTGCAACGTAATGAGACTTGTAAGGTTTGCATATATATATACACTCGTATATACAAAGTATTTGATAATTAATGATACACCCGTTGTGCACAGGTAGAACTCGTAAAACTTTTAACGCAGAATTCTTCTAATATTTCATGAACAGTCACATGAAATTTTGAATTTTTAATCAAAGAAGATTGACGAGTATTCACGCGCGATAATGCACCAATTTTCTTTAATTGATAACTAGGAATCTACGTGGCCATTTGTAAAATGAACGGAATGGAATGATGAATGGTAGATAAAGTCGTATGGCTTTGTTGTTCAGTTTGACCTAATCTATCAGCACTCACGACGGCGGGCATTACTATCAAAACTCATCTGCCGTATCGATTACTTATCGAACTTAATAACTTATTATTATACTCAAAATATACTGAAAATTTCACGTGGTTGTTTGCAAAATGGTAGAAGAATTTTACGTTCAGTTTGACGTTTTACCTGCACACAACGGGTGTATCATTAACTATCAGACACTCTGTATAAATGGAGATGCGACTGAAAAATGGACACATGCATTTCAATGCGTTTCTAATTTATTATGGTGACTTTTATATTTGTAATTATCGCCCAGCGAATTAGATGTAGCGCGCGATTTAAACGCAATGTACGATAGTGTTGCGTTTACGCGTGTAATTCCATCGCTTTGAAGTTACTTCGATTTTCCGAGGGATGCGTGTACATACTTTCTTCTCTTCACCCAAACACGCCCGACAATTGATCGATCTCTTGGTTTCATTGTCTCGTAATATATTCACTCTCAGACATTTATATCATAGATCATGCGAGAATTTTGCACAAGTTACACATTGACCAAAACTCGAACTAGTTAACTATAGCAGCAAATATGCGCGACTGCGATTTAAACCAATTTTTTAATATAAACTACGAACGTGGTTTAGCGTGAACTTAGTTTGAGGAAGCCAAAGTGTGTTTTTGTACATTCGTACCGTCTCGGAGTACGCGATACACCATTTAGATAAGAATCCAGACAGCACAGGAATATTTTGTGAATGCTCTATGAGTATTCTTCTCTCACGAATATTTGTACATTCTACAAATGTATTAAAACACTGCTATATCTTCATAATATAATTCATAATTCATAGTTCATAATTCATAGTGTATTGAAATAACACAGCTATAAATGTTCTATGAATGTGCATAGAATATTTACAAAATGTAGATTAATCATTGATTTTGCCTTTACTTAATTATAAATTAAGTTTACTTAATTATAAAGGAACAATTTGAGTTTTTCATTTTATGGATACGTTTCGTTACTGAACTACAATATTACTGTTTGGAACATTTGAAAACTTATCACCCAAACAGCACAGATCACCACAGGACAACCTAAAGATATTCTGAGAACGTCTCTATATTCCGAGAACGTCCCCAGGGCATCCTCTGGAAATCTTGTGCTGTCTGGGCAATTACATAAATTATTGTATATGCGCAGTAAACAAGCCTTACGAATGTTCTAAATACGTTCCTTTCTACTATAAATATACGAATCTCTGCGTACAATATTATACGTACGTTCATAGAACATCCGATCCGAATATTTTGGAATTAAGAACGCTCGTATTTCATAAGAATATTCGTAGAATATTTCGTGTGTGTCTGGGAAGTAATATAATACGTGTGCGAACGTACGAATACCAGTGTGTTGATGCACGTCATAGATTTCGCTTCGAATGACGTCTTTTTAAATTTGAACGCATTTCTAACTATGAGAGCGCGAAGAGAGTAGAGAAACGAAACTAGTCTTACGTACAAAGTACTTATTCTTCAGTTCCTAGAATAGAGAGCATTCCGGTTATTACGAACCAGTTATTAGATCACTACTGTTATCAACCCTCGAACGACGAATCGATCGAACGGATTGCTTGCGAGTTATACTGAATTTTTCAATACGTGTAGAGCAATCTCGATGAATCTCGTAACTACGTTACGTTTATAATGTCTTCACTTTCGCAAAACACGATGCTACGTAACAAGGCAGATCGGAGGAACATGAAGAGAGCAAATGTATGAAATGTCCTTCACTCATACCTGATCTTAAATGATCCAATATTAGCGAGGGTTAATAAGAGAACTGACGCATTTTGTAAGATTTAACTAGCATGTCCTGTCCGAAATATCCTATGTACATACGATACATATACAACTTCAGAATTTCTTTTGTCTATCTCTTCACGTACGAAAATGATGTAGCGCCTACATGATACGAATAAAAGTTTATAGATACACACCGAAACGATTACAAATCTTTTGCAATTACTCTATTCTACATTATCTTATATTTTATATCTCATCTCTTGCTGTTTCTCTTACGTATCCGTTCTAATTTTGGCACACGTAATAATTAATAGAAAAATATACGAACACGTTGAAACTTAGAGTTGTATAAGCAACTTTTAGTTGAAATGCCACATATCGAGGATTGAGTGTATATTTTATCTTTCTCTAATATGTCGAGACAGATACCTATATTTGCAGTTGCAAAATTTGTACTCTGTATTAGAAAAATGATATTTGCATTGATCATCTACATACACGTTATTTTGTTACAATATAGCTTATGCATAAACTTACTAATATAGAGAACAAGTTTTCATGTAATACATAAGTCTTAATATACAAATAATTTAATATATTTTTTATAATTTATATAATATGTATGACAAATTAATATAATAATTAGCACTTATACTATCTCAAAAATTAAAGAAAACGAAATGTTTCATTCGAAATGCCAATTCATTATATATCTTATGTTCCTTTCTATATATTTACTTCTTTTATATTATTTCATTATCATATTATTTCAAATTTAGTCATTAAAATATGATACATATATATGTGTTATGAAAATAATTGATAAATTAAATAACAATAATGAAATTTGTATGAATGAAACAATCTATCTTTTGTAGGAAAGTACTTCAATGAATTTAAAAAATTTTCAAATCGATAAACGATTCCAATTGATCAAACGATTCCGAATTAATTGCAAATATTGACTATAGTTCGACATTAATTTTTTTCGACACAGTAAGTCGTTCTAAAGTAACATTTTTATTTATATTTTGATCGTATACTTATCTTTACATATCTTCTACCATGTGCTTCCACAACCTCATTCATCTCATACGTTTCATCACCACTATTCACTGATTAGTTTCTCTAATAACGATAATTTCGCCCTTTTTTTAGAAATTGGGCATTTATCCTGGTTCCTATCCTGGCTTTTATTCTGGTTTTTACTTAGTATGTCTAACCATGAGTTGTCCAAAATTTCCTGTCTTGTGTTGGTCTGGTAAAACAGACAATGAGAAATAAATTATGCAAAACATCAACATTTAATAAATATAACATTTGATGAAAGAAATAAATACCAATAGAAAATTTAAAAAATTTACCATGCTGGAAACTGCTTCTTCAGTTTCTACACTTAAGGATATATCCAAACTTCCAGTTTCTTGCTTTGTACAAGTCTGGTAAGATGGAAAATGAGAAATAAATTGTGCAGAATATATCAACTGTATAATAATTCACAAAAGAAATAAATATCAATAAAAACTACAAAAATTTACCTTGTTAGAAACCATTTTTACTTCTTCTACATCACTGAGAGAATTTTCACTCAACTTTTTTGGACTGTTAGATATTGAACTTTTTATACCAAAATGTTGACATGCTTCTAAACTGACCATTATCAAGTATTTTATTTCATTCATTTGTCTTAGCAAGATCTTCGCATTATCTGGACTTTTATCAAATGTAGTTTCTCTGAAAACAAATAATAATTGAGACATTACAAGCATTATAATTTAATTTAATGTTATTAAAAGTAAATACATACGATTTCTTAAATTGATCTTCTAAGGTATCAACCTCCATCAATGTAGTTATACAATTTTTAATATGTTTATATAACGATTCCCATCGTTTTACATTTCTTGACATGTCTCTAATATAATTGATAAATATGAAAATCATATAATATTCAGGCTCAGAGTAGAGAAATAAGAATGAAAAGAATACCTTTTCATAACCTTTATATAAGTAACTAAAGTATCACGATCGGTTCTCTCAATTAATTCTTCTGCTTCCATAACAGAACCATATAATAACTTCTTTAAACTAAAAAAGAAATAGATCAGTTTAAGCAACAAATCATAAATGATTGTTTTATTATTAGACTGACATAAATAAACATACTATTGTAAATTTTCTAATTCTTTTTCTTTTTGTGATAGTTTATGTTTCAAACTTTCACGTTCCGTGTATTTTTCCTTCAGATCTCTTATCTGCTCCTTTAAAAGATAAATTTTGGAGTTCTTTTTATTCATTTCACTTTCTACTTTCCGTACTTCTTGTCTGAGGCCTGCATTTTGTTTCTCCAAGGTTTCATTCTTTGAGGTATAATATTTGATGTTTTTTTCATTAAGCAAAACTTGAAATTTCAAACTGTCTATCCTTTCTTGCATGGATAGACTATCAGTGCTATTGGTTTCATTAGTCGCAAATGTAACATAAAGTCTTTGAATCTTTTCTTGTGAGGTTTTTTTACGACATTCTGGACAACTGTTCGACCTCGAATAGAAACATAGAATAAAGTTAAATAAATTGAATATTTGATTCATTTTATAGAGATATGAGTAAGGATGAGAGAGTAAGAGCCTTATTCTGAAATCCCTTTTATCAATAAAAGACAATTCAGAGAATGACGTCCCAAGTTACATTAATTTCCACCTTGTAATGTGTTTATAAACAAATACATAATCCATTTTTTTTACCTTGTAAGCCATCGTGACAAGCAGTTAAGATGAAATATATGTCCACAACGAGTTACAGAAATGTCATCGGATTGTATGAAATTATCGCGACATATAGTGCAGACGATATTCATCTTGGACGTTAGTAAAAAAAAACTCAACTTCAAAGGATGATATTTCTTGTTTAATTTTTCTTTCGTGTGAATGACACTTTTCAGACAAGGCAATTTCACGTGTATTCGACGAAATATTGTATAAACGCCATCTACGGATCGAATGTGTATTACAGAAGATGAGAATTACCCACAGATGTCCATACTAAACTAGAGGTACGGTTCAGCGGGCGCTGCAAATGCTTTGTAGCGTTTTTACTTCTTTCTCTTTCTTCATTCGAATCCGAGGAATAGAACGAGAGGGAGAAACGCTGCGCAGCATTTGTAGCGGGTGTTGGACTTATATATGTAATACTACTATATTGCTAATTACCCTATGCTGCCTATAAGAGGAGCTTGTCCTAGAATGGAAGGACAGACGATGTCCGAGGAGTGTATTTTGACCGTAGTGCGCAGGCGTGACGATCAGATATTATATTATATATATAAGGTTTGTTCTTTCCAGCTGAACGTCTTACAG